GTTCACCTCCTGAGAATTGTGATTTTGTTGTTGATTTTTAGTTTGGTAGGCATTGGAATGCAAATGAAATGAGACAATTATCTGTGGTAAACTGCTTTCCTGGTGCTGGAAGAATGCTTTTTCTTTGCTTCTGTTAAAAATCTGAAAGGCATCTAAAAAGCTGATTCAACTAAGTCCTCGATGAAAAACCAGTTCTGTAAACTCTGCCATGCTCACTTCTTGGAGTTATCTCATGTTTGGACCTAAAGGGAGAATTTTTTGAAATACAACCCTATTCTGCTGTGGCAGAATGCTTCCTTTATAAAGCAAGAATATGGACTAAACGCAGAGAGGGACAAGTCAGCATTCCCACATCACTTGTAAAATAAAATAAATATGCACAGACCCTTCTGTCAAGGCTATGATCCTGGACAAATTTATAAACCAAAATTTGGTGAAGCACCTACCGGGACATGCATACTCATTATTATTCATGAACTTAACCAAGTATTGCTCACTCTAAACAGAACAGATGGAAACAGCCATTTTTTTTTCTGGATACAGAATATTGAATTATGAGAGGTCAGGGAAAAATTCTCACTGATGATCAAGACAGAATGATTAAAGAAACGATATAAGAAAACAATGAATTTATGCATATCTGGTTGTTTTTAACCTCTATACATTTTTAGGGATTCACAAACACCATAGATGACTTTCACTGAAGACAGAGTATATCTGTAAATTATTCCTAATATTCCATCCTTTCATTTAGAAATTACATGGCCTTCTATCTTAATAATTACATGAGTTATGTGATTTTAAAGATTTCCCTTCTGTTCATTCTTTTACTTGGTTATAAGTGTTACAGCATTTATTTGAACTTAAGGTATCTGCAATCCTTAGGGAAGTTCATAGCATGCATTCTTCCTTCCCAATATGAACGATACCCCACCATGTGTTGCTAACACACACACTGGACAGCTGTATCCCATTGTTCTGATACATTCAGAAGTAAGGTTGGTTAATGACATGATATTCACATTTAATTTTTAATAAAGACTGTTAACCTGCTTTCTAGCTTCATGTTTGCCCCTCTTTCTCTTGTTTTACTAATATTTAATGTCATCTTTTTGGGGTTTGCTATTCATGTGGCCTTATGTTAGATGATTCTTTCCTATGTGAAGCTATGCTGTTAAGTACATTATTTACCATTTTATCATGTACTAATCCCCATTCTCTTCTTATCGAAAAATTGTACTAAGATGTGTGTATGCATGTGTGTGTATGTATATGTTTAATAATAATCTTTTTGAGTGATCTCACTTTTAATTCTTATTGAGCTTTTGCCATACATCATAGCTACTTCTATAGAAAAACCTGTCTTCAGTTTTCTAAATTGTGCATATATTTGGAGTTTTCTAAACCACACCTCTCATTTACTGGCCTCCTGTATGTGTTACTTTCTTCTGTCTAGACAGCTGTTGAGATAGAGAAAGCAACACTAATTCCATATAGTTGACAGACACAAGAGCTGGTGGGCTTGCCAAGGCATTCATGTTCTCTTAAGGAAATATGAAAGTGCTTCTTCACTTGGTACATTTGGAAAGGTCTTGGCCGCCCAGCTTTAATGTTGGCCCACCATCTAGTTTGCTTGGTCAGCATGCTTTCAGAAGCAGGAAGCTTCTTTGGATCAGCCAGTCCTTTCAGGGACAGTCAAAAAAAGATGTCCTGCCCTACCCAGTGTCACATGGATTCATTGGCTATCGAAGGCTTAACAGTGATTTGAAAGAGAAAAAAAAATAGAGAGATGGAAGGTACAATAGGGACAAAGGCAAAGGTTTTCTTCTTATTTTTTTAAGACAATGAATAAAAAGTCCTTAAAGTTTAACATTTTGGATACAGTTGCTACCTTTTCCCCATGATAATTTTACACAATTTTAGGAAAAATAAAGAATTAAGGTAAAGGTATACAAAACACCAACAGAACACCTTTTTCCCATAAGATTCCTGATATAATTATGTATAACTATGAAAAATGAGGGATTAGAAGGAGAAATTGATGTAAATATTTTAATGTGTTTCCAAATAGATCTAGTCAAACAGTTACAGAATTTCTGATAGAATCATTGAACAATTGTGCTCATGGGTTGAGGACTTCGCAGATGCTTGCTTTGAAGAGAGTTATTTTTCTAGCTGGCTGTTTCCTCACTACTTGCGCTTACCATGGAGCCTTAGTTCTCTCTTTTGCATGTTAAAAATCAGCCAAGGTCAAGGTTCCGGCTTTGTTTTCTCCAGCTCAGCTGTATCTTCAAGCTATTGGTATTGTGTTGTACTTTTCTGCTCTTACTACCTTACTATGACCTCCTAGATGTCATTTCCAGTTACATATTTTATATCTTTTCCTTTATTCTATTTTCTTCTCCTTCTGCATCTTTTTTTGAGACAGGGTTTCTACGTGTAACAGCTCTAGGTGTCCTGTAACTTGCTCTGTAGACCAGGCTGGCCTGGAACTCATAGATCCACCTGCCTTTGCCTCCCAAGTGCTGGAATTATAGGCATGCACCCCCAAAACCCAGCCAGTCATTCCTTGAGAAAGAGTATCATATAGATGACCATAAAGATTTTGCTCCCAATTTTGCCTTTCTTAATGCAAATAGCATATATACTAATGTTAAAAATCAGGATTTTGTCTTTTCACAGGCGTTTCATCTGTTATTTTCTCACAATGTTTTAAAAGTAGGCATCAAGCTTATATTTCTTTTTCTTTTGCATGACTTTCTTTTTTAATTTGTATTTATTTTTCAGTGATCTATTTTACTTCCTAGCCGCAGCTTCCCCCATCCTCCCTTCCCATTTCCTCCCCCACATTGCCCCTGCTCCCACCCCCCAATCTCCTCCTCTTCAATCTCCATCCAGGAAAGAGTATGTCTCCCATGCATATCAAAACAAACAACAACAACAACAAAACCAAAAAACAAAAAACATGACATATCAAGTTGCCATAAGACTAAGCAGCTCCCTATGTATTAAGGCTGGGCAAGGCGACCCAGTATGAGGAGTAAGGTCCCAAAATCTAGTAAAGGAGTCAGGGACAGCCCTTGTTTCCACTGTTAGGAGTCCCCAAAGAGGACTATGCAACTGGTAACTGTAACATATATGCAGAGTGCCTAGGCTAGTCCCATGCACGCTCCCTGGTTGTCTGTTCATTCTCTGTGAACCCCTGTGAGCCCAGTTTAATTGATTGTGTGAGCCTTGCTATGGTGTCCTTGACCCCTCTGGCTCCTATACTCCTTTCTCCTCCTCCTCTGTAGGATTCCCCAACTCCTGCTAGTGTTTGGCTATGGGTCTCTGCATCTGCCTTCACCAGTTGCTGAATGATACCTCATCCTGGTGGATTTTTCCTTTGATGAATATGGGATGCACTTCTCCAACTCTTTAATCTTAATTTTGGTTGGAAGTCTATATTGTCAGATATTAGGATAGTACACTAGCTTGCTTCTTAGGTCCATCAAGCTTATATTTCTTTAAGATGTGATTTTTCAAACTGTAGCTGACATTACTGAATATTTGTTTATGCCAGCAAAATTTCCCAAACTCTGCTAACCAAATATGCTGCTATCACAATCTCAGATGCTACCTTAGAGAGAGAAAAATCTAGTACTGTAACATCAGGTTTCTCCCTTTCCATGTTTTCTCACTCATTATACATAAATATATCCATGGTTTAAACAAGAGTCAGTGTCTTAACACAAAGGATTGATCTGGATAGGTTCATGGATAGGGTAGTGACATCCATCCATTAAATCTCATTAGCAAAAAGCATATCATGCACAGAAATTTGTAAGCATGAGATTAGGTAAGTAGGAACATAAAGAGAAGGGAAAGGTGGGTACAAGGTGGTGCTAGCTTTTAATTCCAAGAGCTTAGGAGACAAAGACAGGCTTGGCACTTTGATTTCAAGGCCAGTCAAGTCAACACAATCAGATGAGAAGAGAAGGAAGAAGGGAGGGTAGAGAGGGAAGGAGAGGTGGGAGGAGAGAGGGAGATGATATGGATGGGAGAAAGGGGAAAGGGGAGAGAGCAAGAGAGAAGAAGAAGAATCTCTTTAATACCTACAAACACACACACAATATCACTTTCTATACTCAAATTATATTTTATTATTCCCTACCTAAATTAAGCATTTGCAGTTTGTTATTATTGTCTCATATTTCAATTTTGATCTCTTTAATCTTTTGTAATTTGAGTCTGAAATGGTCAGCATTTTGGTAAGCCATCAGAAAATAGAATGTAGTGATTTCTGGTGCTGGAGAGATAGCTCAGCAGTTAAGAGCACATGGTGCTCTTGAAGTGGACCTCATTTGGTTCCCAGTGCCCTATGGCTTCTTATGACCATTGGTAACTTCAGTTCAAGGTACAGAGCACTGCCTGTGAGCACTAGACATGAGGGAAGTGTACTTACATACATGCAGGCAAAACATTCATACTTACAAAATAAAAATAAATCTTTTAAAAAGTAAAAATAGCAATTTTAAAGGTTATGATGGGTCTGGGTGAATGGTTAGTAAAGCCTGGGCCTTTCAAAAGGGTCGAGTACAAGGAGGATGGAGAATGATTAGAGTAGATGGTTTGACATGTTTTTCCAAAGCATCTAATTTATGGCTCTTCAGCCATAAATTTCAATTTGGGGTTTGCCTTATTCTTTGACCTTTGGAAAGAAATGTAACATTTCTGTATGTCAGTCGTAAAAATGATAATTCCTATCTTAATTGTGGGAAGGATTTTAGGACCTGTTCTATTAAAAAGTTTGTCAGACTTGTAACATTGAGCAGATTTTCAGTAAATGTTGGTCTCCAGGTCTCTACCTAATGAAGATTGTTTGCTTTGACATTGACTATCTTTGTTATTTTTATTTTTACATTACTGGGAATTAAGTCTAACTATGGCTTTGTACATGATAAGCAGGGACTCTACCACTGAGCTACATCCCTGGCCCACTTTCTACTTTTTATTTTCAGTCAGAGTCTCAGTGGTGATCCTCCTGCTTCAGCATTCTGAGTGGCTAAGATTACAAGCCTACACCACCATGGCCAGATCACTGTCATTTGTTAATATGGTAAGAGATTTAGATTTCCAATACCTTGTCAAGCTTCAATGAAACGTCTTGTTTCTTGAAACAAGTTAAGCTTCTTGAAACTTGAAGTAGCAGTATCTAATTTTAAGACTGCTTAAAGCACATATGAGATTTAGAACCATCCCGTAGAAAACAGCAAATTGTAGTGGAAAAGGGGACGTATCAAAATGAGTCTCCTTGGATTCAAGGTATGAGAAGCAGCATAGTGGAATTGCTAATGAATTTTTATTTGAAAAAACTTCTGTTTTATCTTTTCCTTTGGGGGAAAAAAATCTATTAACTTCACCAAATGATTAAACTATAGGTTTTTATTTTTGAATCTTAGATTATTTTTGAAATTGTAAAATGGTTTGCTGCCTCAACATTATCACTTTTAAACTTAATAACTTGAAAACTTAATAACTGTTATTGATCTCACTAAAATATCTTAACTTTCTTGCCTGCTATTATTGTTCCCTGCAAGATTAAAATCTTAATGGGGCATAATACAATATATTCCTTCATCTTGTTTCAAGGGCCTGCGAAGACAGTTACCATTTACTGCCGGACAGTTTGTGTGATATCATTAGAGATACTTATTTATATATTTTTCCTCTGCTTTGCTCTGTCCATCACTTATTTCTTTCATACTATACATTGTTACTGAGGTTTACAGCACAATTTGTAGCAAAGTAATATTTTTTTGAGAAAATATAAACTTTTCAGTAAAGTAAATCTTTACTGAAACTTTGGGTTTTGAATTATTTTGTTCAGGAAATGAAAATTAATATCATGTTTTCTGGGGAAGTTTCCTGCCTTCTGTTTATGATTAAACTGACCATTAGATCCCAGATGTATTTATTTCCTGCTTTGCGCCAAGACTACTGAGAACATGGACCCACTGTGGATTTATTCACAATATGTAATATATATATATATATATATATATATATATATATATATATATATATATATTTATATACCTGTATTGTCATCAAATAGATAGCTGTCCCCAAATGCAAATTTTTAAATAGAAAAAAAGAGACGGGTTTTCTCCATGTAAAACCAACAAGAAGAAAAAGGCAATTGACTACACTCTCTTTTAAACTTGTGAGGAAGTCATATCATAGCTTTGCTTAAATTGCATTTATGGTGTTTAGAAAGTCTAAGTGGTTTATACAGAAAACAGTCTTTTACAAAAATACCTAATCCCAACCTAGTGTTGGTTGCTAAGAGAACATTTGATGCAAATTAATCAGTAAACATCTAGCAAGCAGCTACCTGAGGAGAAGGGGGTCAAAGAGACTTAGAAGCTGGTCAGCAGGAAGACTGCTGAGGGGAAATGCCTGTCAAGGGTTTTTATACATATCACGGCACCACACTGTGATATGAATTTTTCTATAATTCCTGTAGGTAAGAAGAGGGGGGAAAAGCAGGGAGAACTGAAAAGATAAATGAGGTTTCTCCAATGCACTTGAGTTTTATTTTTTTATTTGTTTGTTTATTTATTTATGTTATTGAACTTTGGTATGATGGCAAGATTGGATTAATTCATGATTAATAACTAATAAAGACTAGTGAGAATAAAGTAGGTTACTTAATAATACTTGAATATTTGTTTTTAAATTTCTCTATGTACCTGTATCCTATTTGTTTTCATAAACTGCACCAATAGAAAATTTGAACAAGTAACTTTTTTAATCAGGAGGAAGATCCTACAATTTTTTTTTCAAAGAATTAAAAATAAATAAGTCCCCCTTTTAAAATTTAAGTTAAAACTCTGAATATCACCATACGTAGAATATAATTGCCTCCTTAAACTTGAGTGAGATCTGAAATGCCCTTAGGTTGTTAGTCTGGAGAAGCAAAATGCCAGTCTAGGTGCAGCTGGGAAGTGTCAGGAGCTGCAAACAGTTGGGGAACTGGGAGTCCTCCTCACTCTCATACTTAAACTCTACGCTAAAATGTTGAAAAAAACTACAATATGAAACACAATGTATACTATTCCATTGCCATTGAAATAAGAAAGGAATGTGTTTGTTGAATTTAGAAATAAACATACATGAAGATATGCAACCAGAAATTTAATATACTATCAGAAATGTCTTATAAAAAAACTATAAAGAAAATGAATAAAAGCCATGTGCATTAGTTGTCCATTAACTTACTAAAATTGTCTTTAAAAAGGAAAGTAATTTGTATGGTAGTATTAATTTTTATATAGGAAAATGATTTTCGCTTTTGTACAAGGAAATTAAGTTTTACATATCTTATCATTTTAAAATTTCTACATACATACACTACACCTTGTATTTCAGTTTAATTAATTATAAGTTAAAATACATGAATTCTTTTTAAATTTTGCACATAAGATAATTAATAAAATGAAAGATGTAGAGAGAATTTATTTCTTTTATATGAAATTATGACTTTTGATTGGTTTAATTTTAGCTCCTTTTTTATTACCTGGCAATAATTTGTACAGAATGCTATTTTTTTTCTCCTGTTCCTGCTACACAGAGTTCAGAACCTATCAGGATATGGAACACAAAGGATAATTGCTGTGGTTACTAGTTCCTGATCCACAGAGAGAAATGACCTGACCTCAAGCAGATTCCTGTTTGTTTTCACCTCAGGAATTAAACAAACACTCAAAATAATTAGTAAATAGGGAACATTTTGGTAGACTATGTTACAGAGGAATTTTGAATCAACAGTGTTGGTAACTCATATGAACCAGGATAGGCTATGTAGAGGGAAGGGGGTGAGCCTCAGTGAGCATTGAAGAACAAGTAGTGTTTGAATGCATCTAGGGAGTCTAGGAGTTTTTATACACTTTAAAATAAACTTTATTATTTAAAAACTTGCAAATAAATAAAGAGAAAATACATCAAAATTAATTGGATCCAAAGTCCATAGAACTAAATGAACTTATATGCAGTTGGAATTGGAATTTGGAACCAAAGTTGTGAAGTTTCACATTAAATTTTAACTTTCATAATTAAATATATTTTATGCATTTATTCCATAGAATTTTTTAAGAACTTAATTTTCTAAAATTTTTATATCATTGTATATATGCACACTCATGTTCATGCATGTACCATAGCATGCTTGTATGCATATGTATGCAGTTGTGTACCATGCATGAGTGGTGTGTGTGTGTGTGTGTGTGTGTGTGTGTGTGTGTGTGTGTGTATGTATGTTTGGATGCTTATGCTATGGTTTGTTTATGGGTGTGTGTGACATGATTGTGGAAGCACATGTGTAATAGCATGCTTTGTGTGGAGGTGTGCTATAACATGATTTAGTATGTGAGTATGTGTGTGTGTCTGTCTCTGTGTGTATACTTACACTGTGGTATGCTTATGTAAATGGAGGGTATGTGTGTGTGGGTACATGTGCCATGGCATGCCTGTGAAGGTCATAGGTCATCACACAGAATCAGATGATCAAATCAGTTTTGCTGGTAGGTGGGTACCTTTACCAAATAAGCCATCTAGCTGGTCCCAGTTCCCATACATTTTTAAATTAGGTATTGAGTGGGTAGCTGATATCAACTTTCCCACTAGTAGATTTTTCAAATTATAGTGACCATACTAAATTTTGTTATGTTACTATAATAAATATTCATATATAAAGAGCATTATATATAAAAAATTAACTAAGTAATGATGGTATTTTTGAATTGTACATATAGCAAAATCTAGTACAGATATGCTATTTACACAAGTGCAGAAGTTTGTAACCAAAGGTGATTTATTTTTAAAAATTAAGCTTTTAATGTATGATTATTTCCTAAATTGATTGTTTTTCTAATTAAACAGCATTATTACTATGATTTCTGAATACTTGTTTGAAAAGATACAAAATACTAAGTGTCCTGGTTAGAGTTAGTATTGCTGTGTTAAAAAATCATGACCACTGTTAGGAGCTTTGCATGAGTATAGAAAATGGCCAGCTCGGGCCCTGTATCCCTCATTACTGGGAGACTTTGCTAGGGTTACTTTCTTAGATTCTGGGGAGTTTCCATTGTATGGGGTTTCTACACCACTCCAAAATGCACCCCAATTCCAGTGTCTCTCCCAGTACTCTTTCCTTCTGTCCCTCCCTTCCGTGCCTGAGCCTGCCTATTCCCATCCCCACCTGCTTTCAGTTCTCCTGCAAAATCTATTCTATTTCTCCTTCCCAAGGAGATCCATGTGTCACCCACTGCCCAAACCCTCCTTGTTACTTACCCCTGGTCTATGAATTGTAGCATGATTATCCTTTACTTAATAGCTAATTGCTGCTTATATGTGAGTACTTAACATGTTTATCTTTTGGGGTCTGGGTTATTTCATTCAGGATGATCTTTTCTAGTTCCATCCATATTTGCCTGCACATTTCATGATGTTATTTATTTTAACAGCTGAGTAATTCTCCATTGTTTTTTGTACCACATTGTCTTTGTCCATTCCTCAGTTGAGGGGCATCTAGGTTGTTTCCAGTTTCTGGTTATTATGAATAAAACTAAAATGAACATGGTTGAGCAAGTGTCCTTGTGGCAGGATAGAGTGTCCTTTGGGCATATGCTCAAGAGTGGTATAGCTGGATCTTGAGGTACATTTATTTCCAATTTTTTGAGGAACTGCCATATTGATTTCCATAGTGTCTGTACAAGTTTGCACTCCCACCAGCAATGGAGAAATGAGCCTGAATTAGCCATCTTTTATAAGCAGGCAAGGATCCTAGCATTCGGACTGGAACATCAACCCAGCCATAAAATCTTCAATCTATAATCTGTCCTGCATGTAAGATGTTCTAGAGTAATGGTGGCACAGAACTTGTGGGAGCAGCCAACCAATAATTAGTCCATCTTGAGGCCTACACCACAAGGCAGAACCCATTCCTGACACTGTCTGAATGATCAGGAACCAGAGGAAAGACAGCTCATAGACCCAGGATAGATTCAAATATGACTGGCAATAGATAGATAGATAGATAGATAGATAGGTAGATAGATAGATAGATAGATAGATAGATAGATAGATAGATAGATAGATAGATAGATAGATAGATAGTCAATGAGTAATTCCTAATGGGATTCTGTTATACTCATAGATCAGTGTCTTGCCCAGTTGTCATCAGAGAGTCATCATCCAGAAACTGATGGGAGAAGATGCAGAGAGCTACAGCCAAACACTAGACGGAGTCAGGAGAACCCTGCAGAAAAGGTAAAGGAAGTATTGTACGAGCCAGAGGGGAAGAGGACACCTGAGAACATGGATTATAGATTCAACAAAGCAGGACTCATAGGAACTTATAGAGTCTGAAATGAGAAACATGGGCCCTACATGAACCTTATGGTTTGTGTAGCTTGGTGTTCTTGTGGGACTCCCAAGAGTGGAAGAAGGGGTGTCTCTGATTTTTTTGCCTGTGCTTAGGACCTATTGGGTTGCCTCATCCAGCCTTGATATGAGGGTTTGTGCCTAGTCTTATTGTAACTTGTTAGGACAAGTTTAGAGAATATCCATGGGAAGCATGATTTTTTTTTAAAGAGAAACAGAGGAGGCGTGGATCTGGGGGAGAAGAGGGTAGGAGAAGGTACTGGGAGGAGTGGAGGGAAGGGAAACAGTGGTGTAGATGTAATGTGTGAGAGAAAAACAAAAGAAAAAGTTATGACCAAAGCAACTCGGGGAGGAAAGGATTTACTTGTTTTAAATTTCCACAGCACAGATGGAAGTTAGGATAAGAGCTTGAACAATGCAGGAACCTGGAGGCAGGAGGTGATGCAGGGGCCGTGGAGGAGTGCTGCTTACTGGATTGTTCCCACTGGCTTTTACAGCCTGCTTTATGATAGAACCCAAGACCAACAGTTAAGGAATGGCACCACTCACAATTGTCTGGGCTTTTCCAAAAACATCATTAAAGTCAAGAAAATGCTCTATATATTTGCCTGCAGCCAGATCTTATGGAGGCGTTTTCTTAATTGATGTTTCCTCCTCAAGTGACTTTAGCTTGTGTCATGTTGACATAAAACTATCCAGCATACCTACAAAATGCATTATCGAACCAAAAAGTCAGCTGGATGGGCTGGAGAGATGACTCGGTGGTTAAAAGTGTTTTTCACTTCCACAGGACCCTAGTTCAATTCCCATCACTCGTGTTAGCTTTTTACTGCTGCCTGTAATTTTACTACCCAAGAATCTGACACTCTCTTCTGGCCTCTGAGGACATCCAAAAGTAGATGTACATACTATTTCTTAGACACAAACATAGACAGTCATAAAACATAAAATATTTTTAAATGACATTTGAAAATATTGAACTAAGTATTTTAGTATCACTATGTTAATTTCCTGAAAATATAATGAATATACACACAAACTATAAGTATGTCATTGGTTTCGTATATTCATTTTTAAGAAGAGGTGGAGTTTACCTAAGTGCTCTGCATTCTTGTATATTTAGTCAGATGAAAGAAGCATCAACAGAATAGTTGCAATTTGATATTAAAATTTATGAATGAAGTTATCCACTGCTAGGTTATAATAACCACATAAAACCAGTCTTAATTTCGTGCAAACGCCTCTTCCCAGTGCTAGTTTGAAGCGCAGGTGTGGCACCACCTTTCCCAGCTTGGGATCCTATGACATGTCCTACAACGGTTTGTGACATCACATGTCAATGAGTACTGCAAGAGAGGTGCTCGGGCTTCAGGGTTGACAATCATCCCCGAGAGCCATTTGCTTTCCAATTGCTGTTACATTAGCTCTCTGAACTCCTCATGGTTGTTCTGATTTCCTCGTTGTGCTGGTTAATTTATGTGTTATCTTGACTGTGTCATGAGACCAAGCCATTTGCTTGAACTTTATTCTGGCCACTTTGGTCAGGGCAATTTTAGATGAGATCAATATCAGACTGATGAAAGGGATTTATCCTTCCTGACACAGGTGGGCCCGTCTAACCAGCCTGAGCATAACAACACAGCTAGGCCCCCCTCATGTCACAGGCTGTTCCTCCAGGCCTCACTGCCCTCAACTAGGACACTTTTTTTCCTGTCTTCACACTTGAATGGAAGCACCATTTGCCCTGGACCTTGGAGCTGTTGGCCTCTAAACTACAACTGGTACTACCGAAACTTCTGGATCTCAGGCATAGGCTGGAAATAGACCATGAAGAACCTGGGCTAGATCATGAGACTTACCACCTCCCAATCATGTGAGACAGTTCCTTATATGAAATTTCTTCTATACATGAATAAGTACAAGTACACAATTTTGATTTTTTTCATGGGCTTATATAGTCTCTTAATCCCTCTCTAGTTTCTCACTCTTCTTATGCATCCCTCATCCAAACAAATTCCACCATTTTATCTCTTCATGGTAGAACTCCTTAAGCCTTTCCTGTGCTTCAAAATGGCTTCTTGTCCATTTCAAGACAAAACTCTTCTGTTAACATAAAGCATCTCTTTTTTTTTTAAATTTATTATGTATACAGCATATATGACTGCAGGCCAGAAGAGGGTACCAGATCTCATTACAGGTGGTTGTGAGCCACCATGTGGTTGCTGGGAATTGAACTCAGGACCTCTGGAAGAGCAGTCAGCGCTCTTAACCTCTGAGCCATCTCTCCAGCCATCTCAGTGATTCAGACCAGACGTGTTGAGGCCAGGTTCTTCTAAAATAGCAGTTCTCAATGCTGCAGCAGTTAAATACAGTTTCTCATGTTGTGGTTATCTCCCAAATTAAATTATTTTTGTTGCTACTTCATAACTGTAAGTTTGCTACTATTATGAATTGTAGTGTAAATATCAGATATGCAACCCTTGTGAATAACTATTCAACCCCCAGAAGAGTCTTGACCCAGAGGTTGAGAACCTAAATAGTATCAGTGTCCTGAGACAGATCTCCTTGGATACTGCTCTCATTCTCTGCAGAGCACCCGTTCTCCCACTCTACCCTCAATGAACTTCCCCTCTACTAGTCTAACTCCTACTCTTTTTTTTTTCAGTTCATCTATTTATTTTATATCCTGGCCACAGCCTCCCCCCATCCTCCCCTCCCAGTCCCTCTTCTCCATTTTCCCCACCTATCCTCCCAGATCCCTGTCTTCCATCTCCATCCAGTAAAGGGTACTAACTCCTACTCTTCATTCTTGATTCATGTTGCATTTCCATCTGGAGAGCTTTTTGTTTCTTCTTGTTCCTTCTGTGTGATACCATTCTTTGCAACATAGGGCTAATAGTTGACTTTCACCTCTGCATGTTCAGTCAAAATCAAAAAAATCCTCTAGGTAAGTAATTACATAAAATAATTTCACTGAGTGCCAAACACATAATGACAGTGGTCATTCCCAAAAGTTCTGTTCAATACACAAGTGAACAATTGCCCGTCTGTATGAAGTACTCTCGCCTTTTTTTTAAATTCGTTATTTAAAATAGAAAAGCCATTTCATGAATTTATACAAATCTGAATTAAAGTGTCTATTTTTTATAACTTATATTTACCATGTCAGATACACTCAGTTCTGTGCCTCCAGCAGCTCACATTTTTACATTCTTACTCTCTGGCCTCAGATTGGTTTCAACTGATAGTAGGTACAAGGAAACGATTGGAAGATAAGTTAATGGAGGTTGGAGTCCAATTTCATCACACTTTCTAGGTCAAGTCTTGAGTTGTCCAGTAAATGCATTCTCTTCCAAAAGTTCTCTGTGGCTCTCTTCAAAGGTCTAATATTTATTCCGCTTGTCCTTTGGGACAGAAATGGCAACATCTCCCTCCTCATTATTCTGAGGATACTTGATCTCCTATTTCTGGCTTTATTTAGGTTTGTCCACACTTTCCTTTTTAAACTTTTTTTTTGCAAAGGATTATTGTGCAATATATTCTGATCCAGTTTCCCCTCCCTGAGCTCCTCTCAGATCTTCCATACAGAATTTCTTAAGAATTGTTTTCTTAAACTTTTCACAATATCCTGTTAGACAGAATGAGCACACCCCTGCTAGGACTATAGTGAATGCTATGGAGTTTTTGTTATGATATATGCACACAGGGGACCCCAGCTGACCAGGGTGTCCCCTGTGTGCAGGGAAACCTGCTGGCAAGCTGGGCAGAGGCAGCGGCAGGTGGAGGGGGATACACACCATGCAAGCATGGTGGCGGAGGCAGTGAACAGTCACTCACAATCGGGGCGCTGCATCCACATGGAAAAAGTTTATTATAATATAAAGAGACAGAAAGACAAAAAGGAGAGAGAGGAACAGAAGAGAGGAAAAGCAGATATGTGTGTGGTAGTATTGTGTTCCCCAAAATATTATGCACCTTAATAAACTTATCTGGAGTCAGAGAACAGAACAGCCACTAGATATAGAGGCCAGAAAATGGTAGTAGCACACACCTTTAATCCTAGCATTTCAGAGGCAGAGGTCCATCTGGATCTCTGTGAGTTCAAGGCCACACTGGAAACAACCAAAACATGGTGACTCATGCATTTAATCCCAGGAAGTAATGGCAGGAGGCAGAAAGGTAATTAAGGCGTGTGGGCGAGGAACTAGAGCTGGTTAAGCTTTTAGGCTTTTGAGCAGCAGTTCGGCTGAGATTCATTCTGGATGAGGACTCAGAGGCTTCCAGTCTGAGGAAACAGGATCAGCTGAGGAACTGATGAGGTGAGGTAGCTGTGGCTTATTCTGCTTCTCTGATCTTTCAGCGTTCAACCCAATACCTGGCTCCAGGTTTGTTTTTATTAATAAGACCTTTTAAGATTCTTGCTACATATGTGGGCACCTTGTGGTGGGGAAGAAAGAGAGTGGAAGAGAGAGAAGAAGGGGAGGAGGTTTTCCTCAAAATGAGGCTTTTACCTCAGGACGCAGAGCAGCACCAAGGGGCAGATCAGAATACTAACTGGTTTCCAAAGGGTCGGTCAGAACATTAACAGCTTTCTCCCACACCTTCTGTAATTTATGTTAGAAATCCAACTTGATATTATAATAACAACAACAAAATTTTGAACTTAGACTGGAATTAATCAAGCACATGAGCCATGCCAGTAAGGTTACACTAGGCAACCTTATCACGAGAGATCTAGCACTATTTTACGATAATTAAAAGCATCTTGCAGTGTTAACATTCTTTTCAGTTTAAAAGACAGATTAAATTTAAGTGGGGATAGAAACTGCCAACAATATGTGAGACCCTGAGATCAGTTAGGACATTAAAGGTAAGAAGAGGAATTA